TGCTTAAAGATCCACTCATTACCAAAAGTGTATGTCATATAAAAACTTGAATAATGGTCAAAGTTGTAATACGGAATATTTAAGGTGTGTTGATTGAGTCACTTCATCAGCTTGTGCATTCAGTAACATTACGAGTTAATGTTCCACCTTAAAAATCCTGGTTATTTTTTCTCAGACTCCAGCTGCTGCAAGAGGTGCAAAACATCCTTATATTTTATAGTTACAGTCTACTAATTTAGCTCTCCACAATACAAACAGAGGCTTCTGCCTCAAAACCAGCCACAACTCAGCCCTGAGCGGAGTGACCATTCACTATTGACCAATCAATGGACTGCAGTGTTTACAGCTCCATCTTTTAGTACCACATCTGTGTGCTAGGTGCCCCAACAGAAGGGGTACCAAAAATGGTAACGGTACGGAAGGGTTCTGTTGGTACTGCTAACTTATTGGTATTGGTAACTTTTCGCAGTGGAAACAGAAAAAAAGTGTACCAAACTGAACCATACTGCTCAGTGGAAATGGGGCTTTAGATACCCCCTCTTGTTTGCTCATAGTGATGTGACTCCACCCATTATTCCCTGCATGCAGATGTGTGTAGTCTGTGATTCTAAAAGTCTGCAGTGATTTGTTGCCCTGTTTATCTTTTTTGCTCCTCATCATGTTTGTTTGGCAAAATTACATAGGAATAATTAAAGGCTACTGATACATCTAAGAGTCATTTATGTCAAGTTGGCCTCTGCACACTCATTGTAGTTTTTGGTATATTTAGAGTGTTGCCCTCCTTTTAATTGTTCTATTAGTGTTATGGCTACTCTATTAAAAAAATAGCAGAGTAGTCTTCTGAGGAGGAGGTCTATGACTCACTAAATAATAAGCACTCACAGAGATCTTTCCAGCTTCAAAAAAGGTTCTGAATTTATTTACATAAACAAAAATATTCTCTGTGGTTGACTTCACCCAATGACCAAAACAAATGGCTTAATTTAGTGGTAGATTAACTGTCTTACTCCTCACTCCTTCAACACATAAGGCAGACAAAAGTTAAACCTAGCTGTCCTCTCTCCCTAATCATAGGAGGATGGCCTGACTAGGAGGAGGGCCATGAGCAGTAGAGAGCAATCATAATAAATCATAGTTTCAATAATTAATCAACATTATCATCAGAATTATTTTGATTTACCATTTTCCAAAAAATGAATAAATAATATGAATAGGCTCCAACAATTAGTGTGTAAAATTATTAGTAAAAATTCTATTTCATGAGCTGTTGGCCTCTTCTGGACATACCTTTGCATATGTGACCCAGATTGGGAGGTATTAGTTATATCTTCATTTCACACAATTCCCATAATTACATAATTGGCTCTGTTGGCAGGATTCAGAGGCTATTTTTTTCCTCTCGTTTTATTTTTTTGGCCTTATTTATTTATTTATTGATTGATTGTGGCCCTGTTGATCACTTAAGAGTAGAATGGGAGAAAGCAGTTGCAGGTCTTCAATGATGGTGGAACCAAGGGTTACTGCCTTTGCTACTGCCTCCACTGGTTAGGCCTAATGTGGAGTAGGCCTATATCTTAGCTCATATACAGCTCATGTATACATTAACAGAGCCTTTACTCTCTGCTTAACAACCTTGTCCTGCATTAGAACTAATAGTTCAATGACCAAGCTCTCGAGAAAAGAAAACACTGAATTTGTCAAAAAATAAATAATCTATTATGACTATATGATTGTTAAAAAAAACAAAAAACAAAAACAGAATTGAGACAGATAATTATATAAAAAGTTCCTCAAATTTTCACAGGAAATAATCTGCTAAAATTCATCCAAATCTCATCGTTTGACACAAACTTCCTTTGGTTACTGTGTTCACTATTTGAGCTATCTGCACAGTTTATCAGTTGTTTTGTGCTGTTACTGTTATACATTGAATATAATGTGATGTTATTTAGTCAGGCCACCCTTGTGGGCCTACTCACTCTGTCCCTCGAATTTGCGGATGATGGTGTCCAAGAAAGTGTTCTGGGGAGCCACATGGCCCCGTCTCACCGGCATGGTTCAGACCCCGCTATGGAACCTCCTTTGGCTCCGACTGGCTGAAAGCTTAACTATCCCAATCTGTTAAATGCTGCTCTCTTGTACAACAATCATCTCCAGCAGTTTGTCTGTCCTGGGCCACATCCTTTCCTCCCTTCTGTCTTATGCTCACTCTCTCCCTCATGCTCTCTCCAGTGTGACTGCAGAGGCCCGCCCATAATCTAAACCCTCACCTCTGATTGGTCCAAACAACAGGTAGTTTATATGTAGCAGCCATCTATTACTGCAACTACTAACAAGACCACCAGGGTCCGCCGTGAAAACAAAGGATCAATTGCAATGTGGTTGAGAATTCAATGAAAGCCAGTAGGGAAAAAGAAAAAGTTGCAACAAAAAGGATATGATTTTACCCAAGTGTTGCCAGTAGCATAACAAAGTTACAAGTAGATGGACAGTATCAGCTACTGGACTATATCTTTGAACATCTGGGTGAACTGGCTGACCCAACACAATTTATGTCTGTACATAAACGTATCCTTTGTAAGAGAAAGATGCCATGTTAACAGTAGCAGAGTCACGGTCACCCAGCACTGTAACAAGCTGCTACTCCTAAAAAAGGGGTGATGTTAGTGACATCTACTGGATGAATGTTTTAATGACAGTTGTTGTGCTGTAAATTATTTAATAGTTGGTTTAATTTGGCTTAAATAAAACTGTAAACAGAAACCATATATAAAAGCCCTGTTCTGTCAATGAAATGTTCCCATCTTTGGAACTCAATGTGATGTGTGCATTTTCAATAGGTTTGGAAGACTTTACAAAAAATAATTTCCATGATCAGCTTTGATGATGACTGATGACTCCTTTGATTCTATACCTGTGTGAATTGAACTGGTTTCACACATTTTTCAACACTGACTTCACTTTTGCTCTTCATACACACTCTATACCAACATGCAGCGTAGCACAACAGTTCATCTCACATCCAAAATGTACAGACGCAACCAAAACACATGAATTAACAGAGCCATCCGGGATCCCGGTTGTGTCCTGTTGGATGTGCTGCCAAATTTATGAAAACAACATTTAGGATGGCTTCTGGTAGTGATATGTGAGTTTGTGGGCAACAGCTCTGGTGGACATTACTGCAGTCAGCACAGAACTTGTGCCAACTGTGGCACTGTGTTGTGTGATCAAACTGCACATTTTAGAGCGGTCTTTTATTGTGACCATCTTGAGACATGCCTGCGTAGTAATGATGCTGTTTAATCAACATCTTGGTATGACAAACCTGTCAAGTGGACGAACTGTCTTGTAAAAAGAAAAGTGCTCACTAACAGGGATTTTCACAACTTTGAGACCAAAAATTGAGAATAATATATCTACTGAGTGTGTGAAAAAAAGTCTTAGATCTTAACCTTAAACCTTTGAAAAATGGGAGCAAGAACAAAGTGTAGCATTTTTGTTCAGTGTATATAAATCAGCAAAAGACAGGAGTTAAATTCTATATATGTGCACACAAATTTGGCCACAAAAGCTGATTCTGGTTCAGCTCTATCTGATGAGAAAAAAAACTTATACAGTTTTACATGTATGTATTTACTCTTGGGGACATTCCTTTCTCCATGTGAGACTGTGAATACAGAGTGTTGGAGGAAAATGAGAAGATTTCTGGTATAAACAATACCAGTGTATTAAAACCTGACCATCACTGGCTTTAGACCTGTCAGCTGAATCTGTGCCAGATCTTTGTTTGGTTTCATCCTAAAGGTTTTATGTGACAATTGAGGTACCAACTTAGTAACAGGTTTAACACAAAGAGCTTTAAAAAAAAAAATGACAGTCACAAATATGATACAGCACCAACATACATCAAACATTATGTGATGTTAGTTGTTCTATCTTTCTAGAAGACGTCTCATTTGTCAGTGTAGTGCGATTTCTTTTCTGAACCTCGTTCAATACTACTTCTCATTGTCATATCATATGCAATATAACACTTACAAAGGACAAAATCCTGATGACCTAATGGGTTTGAATCATAATTTCTAGAGAGGTATATATGTTCTTATACTGTATACTGATGAAATAATACTGTCATATAAGTTGTGACTGTGTGTATTATCAATCAATCAATCAATCAATCAATCAATCAATCAATTTTATTTATAAAGCCCAATATCACAAATCACAATTAGCCTCACAGGGCTTTACAGCATATGACATCCCTCTGTCCTTAGGACCCTCGCAGTGGATAAGGGAAAACAAAAAAAACCTGAGGAGGGACTGAGGAGGGATCCCTCTTCCAGGACGGACAGACGTGCAATAGATGTCGCACACAACAGATCAGCACAATAATATCAGTAATCCGAATGACACAATGACAGAAAGAGAGACAGAGACAGAGACAGAGACAGAGAGAGATGCAGGACAGACGGTAATGACAGTAGTTTACAACAACATTAATGAAAGTAATAATATTATAGTTATAATTCTGGCTATTGTGGTACAATATGTTGAAAGTATATATTAATATTTGATAGTATACAGTACAAGCCAAAAGTTTGGACACACCTTCTCATTCAATGCGTTTTCTGTATTTTCATGACTATTTACATTGTAGATTCTCACTGAAGGCATCAAAACTATGAATGAACACATGTGGAGTTATGTACTTAACAAAAAAAGGTGAACTAACTGAAAACATGTTTTATATTCTAGTTTCTTCAAAATAGCCACCCTTTGCTCTGATTACTGCTTTGCACACTCTTGGCATTCTCTCGATGAGCTTCAAGAGGTAGTCACCCGAAATGGTTTCCACTTCACAGGTGTGCCTTATCAGGGTTAATTAGTGGAATTTCTTGCTTTATCAATGGGGTTGGGACCATCAGTTGTGTTGTGCAGAAGTCAGGTTAATACACAGCCGACAGCCCTATTAGACAACTGTTAAAATTCCTATTATGGCAAGAACCAATCAGCTAACTAAAGAAAAACGAGTGGCCATCATTACTTTAAGAAATGAAGGTCAGTCAGTCTGGAAAATTGCAAAAACTTTAAATGTGTCCCCAAGTGGAGTTGCAAAAACCATCAAGCGCTACAACGAAACTGGCACACATGAGGACCGACCCAGGAAAGGAAGACCAAGAGTCACCTCTGCTTCTGAGGATAAGTTCATCCGAGTCACCAGCCTCGGAAATCGCAAGTTAACAGCGGCTCAGATCAGAGACCAGATGAATGCCACACAGAGTTCTAGCAGCAGACCCATCTCTAGAACAACTGTTAAGAGGAGACTGCGCCAATCAGGCCTTCATGGTCAAATAGCTGCTAGGAAACCACTGCTAAGGAGAGGCAACAAGCAGAAGAGATTTGTTTGGGCCAAGAAACACAAGGAATGGACATTAGACCAGTGGAAATCTGTGCTTTGGTCTGATGAGTCCAAATTTGAGATCTTTGGTTCCAACCGCCGTGTCTTTGTGAGACGCAGAAAAGGTAAACGGATGGATTCCACATGCCTGGTTCCCACTGTGAAGCATGGAGGAGGAGGTGTGATGGTGTGGGGGTGTTTTGCTGGTGACACTGTTGGGGATTTATTCAAAATTGAAGGCACACTGAACCAGCATGGCTACCACAGCATCCTGCAGCGACATGCCATCCCATCCGGTTTGCGTTTAGTTGGACGATCATTTATTTTTCAACAGGACAATGACCCCAAACACACCTCCAGGCTGTGTAAGGGCTATTTGACCAAGAAGGAGAGTGATGGAGTGCTGCTTCAGATGACCTGGCCTCCACAGTCACCGGACCTGAACCCAATCGAGATGGTTTGGGGTGAGCTGGACCGCAGAGTGAAGGCAAAGGGGCCAACAAGTGCTAAACACCTCTGGGAACTCCTTCAAGACTGTTGGAAAACCATTTCAGGTGACTACCTCTTGAAGCTCATCGAGAGAATGCCAAGAGTGTGCAAAGCAGTAATCAGAGCAAAGGGTGGCTATTTTGAAGAAACTAGAATATAAAACATGTTTTCAGTTATTTCACCTTTTTTTGTTAAGTACATACCTCCACATGTGTTCATTCATAGTTTTGATGCCTTCAGTGAGAATCTACAATGTAAATAGTCATGAAAATAAAGAAAACGCATTGAATGAGAAGGTGTGTCCAAACTTTTGGCCTGTACTGTACATATGTATAGTATATGTGAGGTTTTAATATGTAACAAGCACATTGGTCTTGTGGCTGAACCTCTAGTTCCACACTGCACTGGGCTGTGAGGTGTAGACACCAACATGTTTGTGTCCTTTTTTGGTCTCAGGTGAATCCATTTGTTCAGGCCACACTCACTTCCATCTACAATGATTTACACACACTCTGAAGTTTATGCAAAAAAGTTTTTTGAACATTCATTCAAAACACACAACACATACAATTAAAGGTTCAGAGGAAGCAGTTTCAAATACATACACTGAATCTCAATACGAAACAATGCTCTTCTCACTTACTCATTGGAGGGACTAAATATTGGTGACATTTTGGACACATGTTTAGCAGTTGAGCCTGAGCCCCTGAAGTTCAAGGGCTAACATGACACAAGCATAAAAAAGGGACTCCACAAAGATCAGACCCTGTAACAGTGTTGCACAGATCTTTGTCCTTCTATAGTCTCATGTTTGTTCAGTGTTCAGGGATTTCACCTGCTGATGTTTCTGCAGAAATGATTGATAAAGACTGACCAGACTGGCTGCTGATGCAGTGGATAGATATCAATGCAACTGACTGGATTTTCCCAAAATTCTGTGCAGCTCTGGGGACATGAGGAAGGGTTTTTCTGAACTCCCATCATGCCTCTCCAAGTCATCACCTGGTTAAACCAATAGATGGATGAATGGATGGATGGATGGATGGATGGATGGATGGATGGATGGATCAAGGGGAAGCATGGGAGAAAAAGTGAGTATAGTTGGATGACCGGTAGAGTGGATTAAGATCAATGGGTGGATTAATGGGTATGACATGGAGTCAAGGAGGGATTTCAAATTTAAGGATAAAAGTCAAATAAAGATGTATGGATGTGAAACAGAAAAGTGGGATAGCAGGGTGATTTTAAATGAAGACAAAAAGACAAGAAGAGGTCAGTTAGTGTTAGAAAGCCACATGCAAAAGACATCAACATCATGTGATTAAAGACTACAGATTCACATAAGGCAGTGTAGCCATTACAATCCACAACAATTCTTTTCTATAATTCCAGACTTGCTAAAATGCCTGAACCTGGCTGGTCCGATTTGTGCCAAAGTGTCCACGAATCATCATGGGATGAAATTATCAACAGCTTTTTGATATGTCATGAACCAGGTGGCACGGCTCAGCACATTAATGGAGTTAACTCCGTAACTGTTGAGTCAACCATTACAAAACCTGAAGAAAATGTCAACATAAGTAACTGAATCATTCCCTGAAAGTTTCAGCCAGAGACATTCGTACAAAACTTGGTTTGCATCATCTAGGGTCATGTCTCAGTCAATGCAAAAAAACTGAAATGATTGCTTAAAGGTGGTGTTGCTTATTACAATAAATTGAAATTTCATGACATTTCACATTCCATACTTCAAGAAAATAGCGATAAATCACCAGTGTGTCCTACAGAGCTGAATTTTTCCAGCACATCCACTGAATTGTGACAAACTTTTGCCACGCTGCAACCTATAGTCAATTCAGAAGTCTGTCACTCTATATTTCTAAGTATATGCAAAATTAATTAACATTTATATCTCCAAAAGTCTTCATCTAAGGGCAACCACCACTGACTGAGAAATTCTTTGGATACTAGATGTCACATGTTTCAAATGGTGTTCAGATCGGTTTAACAGTTAGGTCAGAGATATTCATTATCTTATTGTAATGTGTACTGTATGCACATCAAGTTCTGTTTCATCTCATTTTTTGACAATACACCTGAAATCAGCAGAATATTGTGAGATTCCTTTCAGAATTTTTTCACCGTTTTAACTGTTATTGATGTCTCATTGATTTTTGAAGATATTGACCAATGAACTTTAAAGGGGGCGTGGCTCAGCAAATGACTCCACAACATTTGGGCCAATCATCACAAACCTTGCAAGCAATGTCTTAATAGGTACCAGGAACACATCCTACAAGTTTCATTATGTGACCACTTGGGGGCACCACAAATTAAAGAAAATGGGCATGCAATCACATATAAACCCATTATTACAAAACTTGCAGGGTAGGTTAAATAAGAATTATGAATTGTGTATTAAATGATTTTAAAAAAGTGAAAAACGCCAGCACTCTCAAATGTCCTTTTAGTTCAGTTTAATAAACCAGCTTGGATGGCAGCACCAGTACACACAGACGTTTCGACAGCAAGGTCTTCTTCAGTGTGTAACTATGGTTAGGAAAGTGGCTTTTAAATACGCTCGAAGCAATCAGAACAGGTGTGTGAAAAAAACTTAACACTTCCGCCATAGCATATAGTGCCAACTCACAGGCAAAGAATAAACAAAAAATCTTTAGAAAATATGCCACAGCTACTAGCAGTAAATGCACCGAAAACAGATACAAATAGGCATAATGTACTCTGTTCATACAAAAAGGCACAGTGAACAACAGTAAAAAATATGTGCACAAGGGGGCAGAATAAGTACCTAATTCTCAATTAACAAAAAGATCATAAATGCACAGTAAGGTAAATGAAGTACAAAAAGTCACTGAGTAACTGTTCCTCAATTAACAATTAGATCATAAGTGCATAGTAGAGTAAATAAAGTGCATAGAGACATTTTGAGTAACTGTCCCTCATTTAGCAAAAAAACATAAATATACAATGGAAATAGATGAAGCGTACAAAGACATTAAAGGAAATTTCAGTTTATTTCAACCCGTCTCCTATCTTCCTAAATTTGTTTCAAGTGACTAGTGACATAAAAATAATCAGACCTGTTAACCCAAAAGTAGCCTGAAAAGTGCATTCATTTATTGAATGAAAGATTTATAGAATTATGGCTGACTTTTTGCCAGACTTTGACTTTGTGGAGGAGGAATTTGATTTTACAGAGTTTGATGGCCGCCCTTATTCATTTGTGCCAGCATACACTGACAAAGAGGTTCGTGAAATTGAAGAACGGAGGAGGAGAGAGAGAGAGGCGCAACAGGTAGAGGACGAGAGAGGAGGAATGGCTGCTGCAAGGCTGCGTAGCTCTGGAGATTGGTGGTGTACCTATGAATGCTGTACCCCAATGCCCACAGAAGAGGAATGCCTCTGTTGCAAGGAGTGGGACCGGTTGCAGCCTTATTTTCAAGGTCTGGATGTGACCGAGGACGAGACACCTCCACCTGGAGTAGTATCCAGCTGGGCTTTATCTAGAGCTCGCGAGATTTCAGGCACGGTATGAGATCACTGCTTGTTCTCGTGATACTTAGGCCGTGCTTTGGAAAGCAGAGCTAAATGGTAAACAAACATGGCACCACACCGGTAAGGTAAGACAACACATTTACATGTCATTTTCTATACGTTCTCTGACATTTATCCTAACGATATGAGGTGGTCTTTGTGGAAAAAAAGCTTGTTTATTGGACTAACTTTGAACTTGAAGTATGCCCTTTCACTAACGTTTTAACAAGTCTGACGCTACTATGCGCCCCGGCTGTATCTAGGCTAATGGCTAACATGCTAACTATTATTTTTATGTCACTAGTCACTTGAAACAAATTTAGGACGATAGGAGACAGGTTGAAATAAACCGAAACTTCCCTTTAAGTCACTGTCCCTTACTTAACAGTCAGATCATGAGTGCACAGTAAAATATATACAGTAAGGTAAGTAAGTAAGTAAGATAAGTACAATGAACAGAGTGTATGAATAGAGTACATTATGCCTATTTATATCTGTTTTCGGTGTATTTACTGCTAGTAGCTGTGGCATATTTTCTAAAGATTTTTTGTTTATTCTTTGCCTGTGAGTTGGCACTATATTCTATGGTGGAAGTGTTAAGTGTTTTTCACACACCTGTTCTGATTGCTTCGAGCATATTTAAACGCCACTTCCGTAACCATAGTTACACACTGAAGAAGACTTTGCTGTCGAAATGTCTGTGTGTATTGGTGCTGCCATCCAAGCTGGTTTATTAAACTGAACTAAAAGGACATTTGAGAGTGCTGGCGTTTTTCCCTTTTTTTTTTACTGTTTTTGGCCATCCACCTTATGAGTGTATTTAGTTTTGAGAGTGCTTGCTTTTTCCTACGTGATATTAAATTATTTTAAAATTCGTTGATGGGGGCGCCACAAGTTATAAACAAGTGCAAAATTTGGCCATAATCAATGAGGATTTTTTCAAACATCACCAAACTCGGTGGACATTTTTAATCATTATTGTCAAGACATTATTGTCAATCTGCAGTTGACCAATAGGAAGCGACAAAGTTTCCAAAAAAGAGTGTGGCCTGGTAGAGATTTAGACCTAAATAAATGAGCTTCTATCTGATTGTCTTAAAACCTGGTGACAATCTTTAATGCAGGTGTCCTGAACAGTCAAAGGTCTTGATTCTACCTAGCTTTCAAGTTTTAAATGTCCATGCTGGCTTGAACCCTGGAATTGCCACTTGCGGCTATACTTATTAGGGGTTCAAGTCCAAAAGGCTGAAACCCTATTGTTTTTTTCCTGTTTATTATTATTATTAGAGGTTCAGGCCTGAAGGGCTGAAACCCTATTGTATTTGTCCTATTTTTTATGATTATGATTATCATTATTATTATTACTCAGAAATGTTTTCGCAAATGCCCGTGAGATGATTCACCGTAAAGACATGAAATTTTCATGCCAATAGGTCATGAAAATGGTGATATAGATGTTAATTAATTTTGCATATTCTTAAAAAAATAGACTGACGGACTTCTGAGTTGACTCTTGGTTGCAGTGCAGCAAACTTTTGTCATAATTCAGTGGATGTTAAAGGTGGTGTGGCTTATTACAATAAATTGAAATTTCAAGATGTCAATACTTAACAAAAAATCATAATGAATCACCAGAGCTGAACGTTTTTCAGCACATCCACTGAATTGTGACAAAAGTTTGCCATGCTGCAACCTATAGTCAATTCAGAAGTCTATATTTTTAAGAATATGCAAAATTAATTAACATCTATATCTCCAAAAGTTTTCATCTAAATGCAACCACCACTGATTTTTCGATACTAGACATCACATGTTCCAAATGGTGTTCAGATCGGTTTAACAGTTAGTTCACAGTGATATTCATTATCTTGTTGTAATTTGTGTTGTAGAAATAAAATGTTCTATTTCAACTAATTTTTAACCAAATGTCATCAAAATTTTTGACAATATATACCTGAAATCAGCAGAATGATGTGAGATTTTTTTTCAGAATTATATCACCAACGCTTTAACTGTTATTGATATCGCATTACTTTTTGAAGATATTGACCAATGAACTTTAAAGGGGGTATGGCTCAGCAAATTACTCCACAATGTTTGGGCCTATCATCACAAACCTTGCAAGCAATGTTTTAAGAGGTACCAGGAACATATCCTCAAATTTTCGTTATGTGACCACTAGGGGGCACCACAAATGCAAAAAAGGGCATGCAATAACACAAATCAGGTTAAAAATCAGAAATTGATTGTCCAATCATTAAAAAACTTGCAGGGCATGTTGAATAATAAAAATCAGCCATGTGTATTAAATTATTTAAAATCGGTCTATAGGGGGCAGCACAAGTTCCAAACAAGTGCAATGGCCTTTCTCAAAATTTTTTCATAATCAACGAGGGTTTGTTCAAACATCACCAAACTCTGTGGACTTTCCTGATTGTCATAAAACCTGTTGGTAATCTTTAACACAGTTGTCCTGAACTTTCAAAGGTCTTGATTTTACCCAGCTTTCAACTTCCATGCTGGCTTGAACCCCAGAATTGCCACTTGCAGCTATATTTATTAATGTATTTATGTATGTTTATACAAAACACCAGTACTGCACTATAAGCAGTTATGATGGTGTTGTACTTACAGAAGCAGAGGAAGAGTGTGTCAACACACATGGCATAGACATTGAAGAAACCATGAGCAATCAGGTAGGCACATATCACCACCGTCTGACGTGGAAAATACACAGGTTAGAAAACTACAGCAGGATTGAAAGCAGTCAAGACATAATGACTTAGAAATTTTAGGTTAACATTCTTCAGACAACATGGAAAGACTTAACAATGCATTCTTTATCATTATATATGTTCAGAGCATTGCTTATCATATAGAAAACATAATGACTAAAAACTGACTAAAATGTCATGAATCTTTGTCAACTAAAACAAGACTAAAACTATGAAGGATAAAAATGATTAAAATGTGACTAAAACTTATAAAACTTATAAGCATTTTCATCTCCAGACTAAGACTAAATGTAAAATACCTGTCAAAATGAACACTGGTGTGTGTGTGTGTGTGTGTGTGTGTGTGTGTGTGTGTGTGTGTGTGTGTCTGACCAGCAGGGGAACCCAGTAGTAGTTGAGATTAGGCACTTCCTCCTGGAAAACAGGTATCTTCCTATTGAAGAAGAAGAATACAACCACACCTGAAACACACACACACACACACACACACACAAATGCAGGCAGTGACGCACTGTCTTGCTGTCTATTACATTTTTCTGAAACATATAATTAAATGTATAAGTTTGTTGCAGATAAAACACTTCCACCCTTGGAAAGTATAATGTGAAACACTGACATGGCAGCATAAAAACTGAGCAATTTTTTGTTACTTACCAACTCCTCCTGCTATCAGCACTTTGCCCAGAAACAACAGAAAGTCTGTCACACTGTCCAGAATGGCAACCCTGTAGGAACACATGAGTTCAAAACAGTACCAGTACCAGTGTGCTGTGTTGGGACCACTGGAACTCCAAAGATGAAATTGTGAATGAATTTGTGTGACATAAAAGGGGCTTTTAATGTGAAATGGAAACGTCTTCCTTCTTGTGCCTTTGCCTGAATGAACTAACATTTTTCACACCCATGAGTGAAACCCTGCCCATTGGAGCCAGTCTTTAATCACCACTGGTCAATGTGGCATGTGATCCACAACATCATGAGGTCAAAAAAAAACAGCTTCCAATGTTGAGGCCTCTCTCATTTCCCTGTTTGTACCTCCTTGATTCCCCACCTCGCTTCCCTCCTTGCGTCTTAATCCTGCCCACAGGAGATGTGAGTTGAGGAGTCGAGAATAAGATGCAAGGAGAGAGAGAGAAGAAACTTGACAAAATGAGACATCCTTGCTTTGGAGCCATCATTTTTAAACAATGTCAATTAAATATAACATGGAGCACAACTGCATCATCTGTCCACTGTTTTATTACAGCCTACTACTATAATTATGATCTCTGTCTGAGCATATTTACTTTAAATTAGTTCACAACATGGCATAACGTTACAACAATATAAGAATGTCATACATTTTTTTTCATTAAACACACACAAACACACATGTCAGTATGCCCGCACTCCATACACAATAAATAGGTCTACCTGTAACAATTTTCATTTTACCAAACGACGCTCTCCGAGCAGTTGCTGCACAATTTCAGGACCATCTTAAGCAAAATAATATGTATGAAAAATTTCAGTCCAGTTTCCAACCTGGCCACAGCACTGAAACGGCTCTGGTCAGGGTCACAAATGACCTTCTGGTGACAGCGGACACCGGCTCCCCATCCCTCCTCATATTTCTGGATCTTACAGCTGCATTTGACACTGTGGACCACAACATCCTCCTTCACCGCCTGCATTCCACCATCGGACTCACTGATACCGTCCACAAGTGGTTCACATCCTACCTCACTGGGCAAACTGAGTATGTTGCATTGGGAAAGTCAAAATCACAAGTTCACTATGTCACCTGTGGTGTCCCTCAAGGCTCGGTGCTGGGTCCTACCCTTTTCACTCTCTATATCAGACGTCGTGCTAGACTTTTTCGTCGTCGGTCATTTTGACTGACAGGGTCATAAAAATCCGGTCATAATCTATTTTTACCGGTCATTTTAATTTTCCTTTAAGATATTCAAAGACATTTAGTTTTCATTCGTTCGTTTTTAATAAATCCAACAAGCAAGTTATAAAGTGTGCTTTAATAAGGACATGAATGAAAAGATGAACAGACATCCACACACCCGTGCCATTCTGGACACACCGGACGCGGAACCGAAGAGCAGCACCCAGCGGCAGAGGCAGTGTTTCAGTTTGGCGTCTGGTCTATTTTTCACGCAAGCAGTAAAATACCGTGTTTATAACTTAAAATAACACAACAGTGCATAACTGAACACATTTTTCAATACCCTAATCACTTCATTACAATTTTAATTTTGTGTCACCGAGCCTACAGAAATAACTATATAAATAAAATGGTCAATAACAATATGCCCAGTGTTTATCCATCACGCTCAATACATGGATATGCAATGACAAATTGTAATTAACTTATTACGTTATAAAAAACGATTAAAATATGGACTTACCAATGTTTAAAAGGACCTGTTGAAGTGAAAAAACGAGTACTGACGGGAACAGACGAGTGGAGTCGATGTTTAACCGTGTTAATGTTTAAGATATGCGCTGCCTGTGTGACAGTCAAGCGCCTGCGAGTACACTCGCAGGACTTCTGCGGCACTACGCGTCCGGTGTGTCCAGGGCTCAACAACGCTACATGAAGCAGATGAATGACTTTTTCTCTGCAGTGTGAAAACGGCTGCTACTGGCTGTGCACTCCAGCAGGGGTGGTAATTGCAACCGGTCAAAATGACGATGGCCTTCAGATTTTCCGGTCATTGTTGTAAAAAAACGGTCAATGACCGAGAATATCCGGTTAACGCGACCCCTGCTCTATATGCTTCCCCTTGGCCGTGTTATCAGCAGGCATGGCATATCATTCCATTGTTATGCTGACGACACACAACTCTACCTGCGGACAGATCCCATCCCCTCTGCACTCCTGCCATCTGCCTCACTCACTACCTGCCTGGAGGAGATAAAGGAGTGGATGAAGCTAAATTTTTTACAACTTAACAGCTCCAAGACTGAAGCCATCCTTGTTGGCACCCCACATCAGGTTGAATCATCCACCCTCACAAGCATCTCTTTCTCCTGTGAGAACAGCCCGCTGTCTACTTCAGCCACCAACCTTGGCGTGAAAATAGACCCCCATCTTACATTCGAGACCCACATCAAACACCTGTGCAAGACATCCTTTTACCACCTCAGGAACATTGCAAAACTCCGTCCATCACTCAACCTGGCAGATGCTGAAAAGCTCGTCCACACCTTTGTCTCCTCCAGGCTGGACTACTGTAATGCACTCCTCATCGGGATCCCTAGTAAAAGCATCCAGAGGCTTCAATACATCCAGAACAGCGCTGCTAGGATCCTGATGAGGGTGCGCAAGCATGACCATATCACACCCATCCTCAAATCTCTCCACTGGCTGCCCGTTGAACTCAGAATTCAATACAAGGTCTGCCTCTCCTCACACATCAGTGCATTCATGGACATGCTCCACTCTATCTTAAAGAACTCCTCACTCAGACTTCCTCATGCCAGGCAGGGTTTGGGCCCCGGATGTGTTGATCCCTGGTGTCACAGACTGACTCTGGGAACATGGAACGTCACCTGTCTAGTGGGGAGGGAGCTGGAGCTGGTGCGGGAGGTGGAGCAGTACCAACACAATATAGTCAGGCTCACCTCCACGTGCAGTGCTGGTTCTGGAACCAAACTCCTGGAGAGGGGCTGGACTCCTGCTTTTTCTGGAGTTGCCCACGGTGTGAGGTGTCGCTGTGTTGGAGTTGTCCTTGGAGAACGAGAAGGTCACCTCAATGTGCCTGCGGGTCACTAAGAGAAGGTCTCTGACTGTTAATAGTAGTACCAGGCCTTCTTGGAGTCTCTGGGCGGTGTCCTGGAAGGGGTGCTGGCTGGGGTCTCCATAGTTCTTCTGGAGGACTTCAACGCTCATGTGGGCAATGACAGAGAAACCTGGAGGGGGCTGAAGGGAAGGAACTGCCTGAACTGAACCCCAGTGGTGTTTTGTTATTGCATTTCTGTGCGAGTCATGGCTTGGCCATAACAAACACCATGTTCGAGCACAGGGAGTGTACTTGGTACCAGAACACCCTAGGCCAAAGATCGATGATCAACTTTGTGGCCAGATCTGTGGCCATGTGTCTTGGACACTCGGGTGAAGAGAGGAGCAGAGCTGTCAACTGATCACTTCCTGGCGGTGAGTTGGATCAGATGGCGGAGAGGCTGCCAGACAGATCTGGTAACCTCAAACATGTAGTGAGGGTGAAATGGGAACCTTCTGGCTGAGGCCCCTGCCCATGAGGTCTTCAAATCCCACCTCTGGAAGAATTTATCGTGCATCCTGGGGGAGGCTGGGGACATGGAATCCTAGTGGCCATGTTCAAGCCTCCATTGTGGAGGTGGCTGTTAGGAGCTGTAGTCAGAAGTAGTCAGGATTTGTCTCAGGCTGTGCTCAGCAGAGAAGGAGAACTGCTTGCCTGAACTGGGGATATCGTCGAGCTGTCTTGGCTGACACGTCTTTTCAATGTTGCATGGATGTTGGGTACGGTGCCTGCGGAGTGGCAGACCGGGGTGGTGGTTCCCATTTTTAAAAAAGGGGACCAGAGGGCGTGCTCAGACTATTGGGTTATCACACTGCTCAGCCTCCCAGTAAAGTTTACTCCAGGTGCTGAAAAGGAGGCTCCAACTGATTGTCGAACCTCGGATTCAGGAAGAACAATGCAGATTCCGTCCTGGCAATGGAACAGTGAACCAGCTCTTTACCCTGGATGGGTTACCCTGGCTGCTGGATGGGTTGTGTTTGCCGATCCAGTGTGTGTTTTGTGGACTTGGAGGAGGCCTACGACCATGTACCCCCACAACTATCGAGGTCAGTGTGCTCAAATCCATTAACAACGTACTTTTGATCCTGGAAATATTACACACAGACATAAAAGACCTAAAAACCAGTCTCGAATACACCCAGTCACAAATTGAAATTTTACAGGTGGAAAATAAGGAACTAAAACTTACCGTCATTACACTCACTACTCTTAGACAAGAAATAATAATAATACACTTGCTACTCAAGTTAACACCATTTCCAGCAAAAACAAAGCAGTGAGAGAAACCATTCTGGACCCCCAGAGCTGCAGCATGCACGAGAATCTCATTTCATGTAGTCATCCCTGAAACTAACACAAGACACCATCAATAAGATTACCTTCCACAGTGTCCACTGCATCGGAGACAAAAACAACAGCAAACCAAGACCCACTGTTGCTAAATTTGAACATTTCAAACAAAAAGAATTTGTTAAAAGCTGAAGAAGAGAACTTAAAGGAACGAACTATGGGATGAATGACCAATCCCACAGGAGATCCAGGAAAGAAGAAAGAAGTTACTCCAGATTCTCAGACAGTACCATGAGAGGGGGAGAAGAGTCGCACTGCAGGTGGACAAACTGGACATAGACGGTCAACTATGCCAAGACAGCAACATCACCACCTGGTTATAACCTGATCGCCGGGATCCCACAACATGTCTGACTTGGCAAAAGTGAATCAAATCTAAATGGACCAGCTTACCCGTTACATTAGATTTTAATGACTTTGAATGAAGAATTTGAACGAGTCTTCAAGAAAAGAAGAAGATTGCATAGCATGTCTATAGGTAATGGTAAATGGACCTGCATTTGTATAGCGCCTTTCTAGTCATCCGACCACTCAAAGTGCTTTTTACACTACAAGTCACATTCACCCATTCATACACTGGTGGCCGAGGCTACCATTAA